TTCCAACCATCGAGACACTCCCCTGTGTAATTAATGATTGGCTAAATGCTGGTTTTCCTTCTGCTTCATTCCCATTGCTATCACCATCCCAAATTGATGACTCATCTGACATCTTGGTCTGATAGTTCCTTGATCACTACATATATTTTTACCTTCACCTCAGCTTTATATCATTTAGTCGCTATGATGGTTACACACTGAGTCTATCAAGTAAGTTTCTACCTCAGAAGCCCCATTCTCCAACAAGAGTTTCTAGTGTTTCGTCTTGCTTGTATAACAACTTACCAACTTCCAACTTGTTATCTTACCAAGACCTCCATTCCTTTGTCCCCTCTACTTGCTCTTCAAAAGGAGCTCTGGTAGTGTAGTGGTTATGAGTCAGGCTGCTAACCTCAAGGTCAGCAGTTCAAAACTACCAGCCATTCCATGGGAGAAAGATGAGGCTTTCTGATCCCATAAAGATTTACAGCCTCGATAAAACTATACAGGGTTGCTATGAGTGGGAACACTACAACCACCACTTTCCCTTCATCTGTCAGCCACTTCTGTATTCTTTTCCTTCCTCTGCAACTTACACTTCGAGGTTCATCATTTCAGCTGTTTTTTTCCTGTACCACAAACTTCTTTCCCATTTTGATTCTTGTGATCTCTGTATTTTATCATTCACTTAAGATATTTTGTAGAATCTTTATTAGTGTTTCTAAATGTCAGTATTCTTGTAATCAATATGAGTAATTATACGTACTTTATAAGATTATCTTAAAGAATAAAATAGCTTTTGTATATACAAATTGCTTAGCTTATTTTGACACCCATGTGGAGAAAAGTTGCATGATATTTAAAGATAGGCATGTTTGTATGTACCTTGCCTTGTGCCATTAGAAATTCACTGAAGCAAGCGGAGTTATACTATAAACACTTTGGGTCGCCAAGCTCTAATGGGTCCTTAAGGTTCCCATGTAGTATAGCTCTTAGCAAGAGCATTTATGGATCTTTAACAGATGGATATGTATGCACTTGAAATAATTGCAGTGTTTATTTCAATAATAGAAATCTCCGAGAAGCAAGAGATAATGCTGTGACTGAAAAGGATCGAGCTGTGATGGCTGAAAAGGATGCTTTAGAAAAACATGATCAGCTCTTAGACAGGTAAGGATCCTGAAAATAGAAATGATAATACTTTTTACTTTTTGTTTCTGTGGCTTTTTCTTTTATAAATTTTATTTTGAATGGAGGTATAATTTTCTCTTCGATTAAGTATGATTTACATTATTTTTATGTTATATTATTATTAAATATATATTAAAAAACAAGATCTAGAATAGTTCAGCCTCCCCAGAGATTTTCCTTGTACTCTTCCTATCAGTCTCAATCCCTACCTGTCCTTAGGCAACTGCTTCTGATTTCTGTCACGGTAGCCTAGTTTTTGTTAATCTTGAACTAAATACAAATGGACTCATATAAATGTATTCATCTGTGTCTAACTTTCCCCCTCAATATTATATTTTCATCCATGATGTTGTGTGTTCTTGCTGTTGTTAAGTGCCGTTGAGTTGGTTCCAACTCATAGTGACTCAGTATAAAGTTTCCAAGGTGGTCTTTAGCTGCCAATCTTGCTGTTGTGTGTTGTTATTTTTGTGTGTGTGCCATGGAATCAGTTCTGACTCATAGTGACCCTGTATAGGGTTTCTGAGGAGCAGCTGGTGAGTTTGAACCTCCAATCTTGAAGTTCAAACTCACCTTGTGGTTCAGTGCCTAATCTCACAGTGTCACCCCAGGACTCCATCAGTAGTTAATCTCTTAATGGTGCTGAGCATGAATATGAGTATACCATAGTTTATGTTTTCACCTGTTGATTGGACATTTAGGTTGTTTCCATTTTGGAGCTATCATAAATAAAGTTGTTATAAGAACTCTTTTTATTGGCACATGTCTTTATTCTGTTTGGTAGATACATTGACATGGAATTCCTTGCCAAAGGGTAGATATATGTTTTACTTTAAAAGAATGTGCCAAAAATTATCCAAATGGTTTTACCGTTCATTTTACACAACCCCTTGATCATTGGAAGAGAATTGTCTTTAATTTTAGTCCTAGAAAAAACTTAGATACTTGTTAAAAGGAAAATTATTCATGAGTATATGTAAACATCATTGCTTCATTGAACTACCTAAATTTTTATTGCTTTGGCTGCATTCAGAGTAAATAGAGAGGTCCTTTTTTTAATACACTTTATTTTAGACTAGCTTTAGGTTTACATAGAAAAGTTAAGCAAAACTTACATAAAGTTTCCATATACTATCTCTGTTCCTGTCTCTTCCAGTTTCCCCTGTTATTAAACATCTTGCCATGGTGTGGTACATTTGTTATAATCGATGAACCAATACTAATGCTTTATTACTACCTAAAGTCCATAGTCTATCTTAGTTTAATACTTTTTGTTGTGTAGTTCTAATGTTTTGATAATGTCATGTATCCACCAGTACAGTCTTATACACAATATGATACAGACTTATGCAGAAGAGTTTCACTGCTTCACCTAGTCATCCTGTCTCCTAGCCCCAACCTCTTTCAATCACTTTTTAATTTTTATTTTTAATTAATGTCAAATAATTGACATCATATACTCTGTAGCCTTTTCATACTGACTTCCTTGACTTAGCAGTATGCATTTAGCATTCCTCTATGTCTTTTCATGACTTGGTAGCTCATTTCTTTTTAATTGCTGAATAATATTCAATTGTATGGATGCACTACATTTTGTTTATACACTTACCTTTGAAAGACATCTTGGGACTTCCAGTTTTTAGCAATTATGGATAAATAGAGCTGCTATACAATAACAACAGTAAACTTATATGTGCTCATTTTCGTATGGACTCAAATTTTCAACTCATTTGGATAAATCCCTGGGAATACAGTTGCTCCATTGTATTTCAAAACTACTAGACTTAATTGTGCTCATGAGGAACCTGTATGTAGACCAGAAGGCCGCTGTTCAAACAGAACAAGGGAACACTGAATGGTTTATAATTAGGCAAGGTGTGCACCAGGGTTGTATTCTTTTTTTCACCATAGGTATTCAACTTGTATGCTGAGCAAATAATCAGAGAAGTTGGGTTATATGAAGAAAAATATGGCATCGGGATAGGAGAAAGACTCATTAACAACCTGGAATATGCAAAATATACAACCTTGCTTGCTGAAAGCAAAGAGGACCTAAAACACTTACTGATGAAGATCAAAGACCACAGTCTTCAGTATGGGTTGCACCTCAGTGCAAAGAAAAAATAATCATCACTACTAGACCAATAAATAACATCCATATCAATGGAGAAAAGATTGAAGTTGTCAAAGACTTCATTTAACTCAGATCAACCATCAGCACTTATGGAAGCAGCAGGCAAGAAATCAAACAGTGTATTGCATTAGGTAGATTTGCACAAGACCTCTTTAAATTGTTGCAGAGCAAAGATGTCAGTTTGAGGACTAAGGTATGCCTGACCCAAGCCATGGTATTTTCAATAACCTAATACACTTGTGAAAGTTGAATAGTGAATAAGGAAGACCACAGAAGAATTGGTACATTTAAGTTATGGTGTTGGAGAAGAATATTAAAAGTCCCATGGACCTCCAAAAGAACAAACTAGTCTGTATTGGAAGAAGTG